ATACCATCAGTAAGTGCATGCAGATCCAAGCGAGCAGAGGTATGAACCAGAGCTGAACGACTACAGGCAGATCCCAGCCAGGGCCTTGCCCAGAAACCATTGGCTCCAGCACACAAGTCCAAGCCAAAGGGCAGGCCAGAAAAGAGCTGCACAGGCACACAAGCATCAGCCAGAGGCCTGCCCCATACCATCAGTAAGTGTATGTAGACCCTAGCCAGAAACCTGCTCAGACACCAAGTTCTGGGGTACACAGCTCCCAGCCAGAGGCCATCCAAGTCAACAGCTCCATAGGAGGGCAGGCCATTGCCAGAGGCATGCCTACATACCATCCCAAGTGCGCATGGGCCTCAGCCAGAAGCCCACCCTGACAACAGGTCAGCTCAGGGACCCAGAAGGCAACCATTCTGAACCCAGGAATTGGTGCACTGGTGGCCAACAGGGAAAAGGCCGCTTGGTGGTTTGCTGAGAATTGAAGATGACTGGGTGAGCAAAAAACTGCCTCAGCAAAGGCACAGAAGACCGCATCTGATGAAATGAGAAGACATATAAACAAGTCTCAAAGTCAGATGTCCAGGTCACCTAAGGCTACCCCAAAGAGCAATGAGATGGAACAATCTGACACTCAACCACCTGGACTCCCTGAACTGGCAACAAAAGAAGATCTGGAAAAAATGAAATCAGAAATAATTTCTCAGATAACAACAGAGATTGTGCCCAGAGTGCAAGACATGATTAATAAATCTAGAGCAGACAGAGACGAAAAAATAGGGGAGCTGAGGAACATGATTGAATCCCAACATAGGAAACAAATGGAAGCCATAAAACAGATGCAAACAGATTTCCAAGAGATTAAAAACTCGACTGAAAGTTTATGCAGCAGAATGAGTGAGTATGAGGACAGAATTTCAGATATAGAAGATAGGATTGCAGTTAATGATCAGGAAAACAAGAATTTCTCCAAAATAGTAAGGGTTCATGAGAAATCAATCCAGCAGCTACTAGACAATGCAAAGAAGAATAACATAAAATGGATTGGAGTCAATGAAGAAACGGGAGAGAGTGCAGATGACATTAAAAAAGCTGTTCACAAAAGAAATGGCAGAAACCTTCCCAAGCAGGGGAAAAGAACTTGACATACAGATAAGTGAGGCATATAGGACTCCAACTAGCCATAACAAAATAAAATCTACACATAGGCATATAATAGTTAAGAGTCTTGAAACCCAACAGAAGAACAAAATTCTACAAGCAGTCAGAGAAAAGAAACAAATCACATACAAAGGAAGCCCATCAGAACCACAGCAGACTTCTCACCACAAACCCTCAAGGCAAGAAGAGCTTGGAGTATGTATTTCAAGCCCTAAGATAAAACAGCCTCCAACCCAGATTGATATAACCTGCAAAACTATCTTTCAAAATGGATGGAGAAATAAGATACCTCCATGACAAAGAGTACCTGAGGAACTTCATGCATACCAAGCCAGCACTCCAAAGAATTTTAAACAATATCCTAGGAAAAGACAATGAGGATCAGGAAGATCAGCAGAGAGAATCCTTTGGGCATGACAAGAAATTAAATGCAAAGGGAGAGAATTCAACAAAAAGAAAAAGTCATGACAAGGATAAGTCAATATGTATCAGTAATAACCATCAATGTTAATGATTTCAATTCACCAATCAAAAGAAATAGACTGGAAGAATGGGTCAAGAAGCAAGATCCAACAATATGCTGCATAAAAGAAACACATTTAATTCAAAAATAAATTCATAGACTGAAAGTTAAAGGGTGGAAAACAGTACTCCATGTGACAGAAACCCCCCCAAAAAGCAAGAGTAGCTATCCTCTTTGAAGATAAAATAGATTTCAAACCAACACTGTTTAAGAGAGACAAAGAAGGACACTACATCCTTGTAAAGAGAACAATCCAAGAGAAAGAGATGACGATCATAAATATATATGCACCAAGTACTAGTGTGCCCAACTATATAAAACAAATACTACCAGATATGAAAAATGAAATAAGCATTAATACAATTGTAGTGGGGAACCTCAACACTCCACTGTAACAAATAGATCAACTAGAGAAAAACAAGCAATGAAATACTAGAACTCAATCAAACTCTTGAACAAATGAACTTAACAGATGTTTACAGAGTGTTCCACCCAACAAAATCAGGATAAACATTCTTTAAAGCTGCACATGAGGTGTTCTCCAAAATAGACAATGTGCTCACTCATAGAACATATTTAAGTAAGTGCAAAAAAATTTAAGTTATTCCCTGTATATTATCAGACCATAGTGTGATGAAATTGGATATCAATAGCAAAAGAAACCTCAATAATTTAATAAACACATGGAAATTGAACAACACACTTCTGAATAACCAATGGGTCACAGAGGAAATGAAAGAAGAAATCAGACAGTTCCATCAATTAAATGACAATGACAATACAACATATCAGAATCTATGGGACACAATGAAAGCAGTCTT